TATTTTGAGGAAAATTTTAAATGTTGATGGGGATGGGAAGCTGGGGATTTTGTGTATAGGACAAGGAGGAATTTAAATTTGTAGGAGTGAGGAAAAAAACCAGGTTGTGAGTGTTTGGGGGGGGTTCGTGAGGCAGGAGGTTTAAAAAAAAAAGGGGGTAAGGCCGCCCGGGATTGATGGGATGAAGTTTGAAATGTTAAAAGCAGGTGGGGTTTGTTTTGGAGTGGTTGGGGCAAAATTTTTTAATAAAAAGTATGGAAAAAGGGGAAGGTAACCCCAGGGATTTGGGAGAGAGCATGCATAGTTCCCTTGTATAAAGGGAAAGGGGAAAAAAAGAGAGTGCAAAAAAATTTTTTTAGGGGGATAAGTTTCCGAGTATACCTGGTAAAGTGTATGGGAGTTTATTATTTTAAAGAATTTAAAAGTTTAAAACGGAGAAAAGGGTAGCAGATGAAAAAAGGGGCTTTAGGAAAGGTTAAGGGGTGTGGGACCCGGTGTTTATGAAACATATAAGTGAACTTATTTAGATAAGGTAAAGAGGTTCCCTTTGTGGCATTTATGGATTTGGAAAAAGGCGTATGGGCAGGGTGGATAGGGGGGGCAATTGGGAGGGGTGTTGCAAGTTTTATGGGGTAGGAGGGAGGTTTCTGAAAAACAGTGAAGAGTTTTTTCGAGGATTGTGGGGTCAAATTAGAGTAGGGAGGGGAAAAAGGGAAAAATTTTTTCCCAGTAAAAGTTTGGCCTTAGAAAAGGATGTGTGATGTCACCTTTGGTTGTTTAAAATATTTAAGAAGGGGTTGTAAGAGAAATTTTAAAAGCGAGGGTCTTGGCAAGAGGCGTGGGGGTTTAAAAAAAAAAAGAAACCCCACAAAAAAGTGGGAGTTGTCACAGCTTTCTCTTTGTGATGAAACTGTGGGTCTTTGGGGGATTCTGAAGAGAAATTGCAGAGATTGGTGGTTGGGAAATTTGGGAGGGTGTGCAAAAGAAAAAAAAAATTAAAAGGGGGAATTCGGAAAAAGTAAGGTTATGGGATAACAAAAAGATTAAAGGGGATGAAAGTTGAAAATCAGATTGGAGGGAGAGGTATGGAGGAGGTGAAGTAATTTAAAATATTTGGGAAGTGGACGTGTCAGCGGAAAGGGTCTTTTGAAAGATGAGGTGAAACATGAATTGATGAGGGGGGAAAAGGTGGGGTGGTGGCCCTTTGGAGTCTGTGGGAACAAAAAACTTTGTCCCTTTGGGGGGGCAAAAAAGGGGGGGAAAGGGATGAGAGTATAGTTTTAACCAAAAAATTTATATGGGTTTTTGAAGAAAGGGTGATGAAAAGTTGGGACGAGGAGAAGGTGGAGGCAGGGGAGATGTATGTCGAGGGCAATGTGTGGTGGAAAATAATGCAGAGAATTTTGTAGTTTGGAAATTAGGGGGGAGGTGCGGGATTACAAAAAAATGTTGTCCCGGGGGTGGGAAGGGTTGTTTAGGTGGTTCGGACATGTAGAGAGAATGGAGGTTTAAAAAGAATGACTTCAAAAGGTATCAAATCTGTATGGAAAGGGAAAGGGGGGGTTTGGGGGGCGGGCCTTTGGGGAAAGGGTTTGGGGGAGAGGAGGTTTAAAAGGGGGTTTTGTGTGGAGGGGCTTGGAATTCCAGCAGGCTTTCCGTTTAGCTGTTTGAAAGGAGTGAATGGAGCAAAGGGGTTTTTTATAGTTGGGGTGTGTTTTGGGGTGTGAGCAAGTAACATTTATGAAGGGGTTCAGGGAAAACCGGAGGCCGGGGCTTGGGCCCGGAGATGGGAAGTACAGTTCCCCGAAATTGAAGGAGGGGTGTTAATGTTGCAGTTTAAAAAAATGTAGTGTAAAAAAACCCCTTTTGGAAAAACAGTGAAAGAAATGAATGATGGTTTAAAAGTTTTCTTTTTCGGGCCACCCCGCCTTGGTGGGAAAACGGCCAGTGTATAATAATAATAAAAAAAAAAACTATTAAAATCCCCCCTTTTTTTATTCCTGTCTTCCATTTATAAACCTCAATCATATCCCCCCCTTTAAATTTTAAGTCTTTCCGAGGTGCAGATTCAGGGCCCCTTGGCTATCCTAAAAGGGAAGGTTTCTGATACATGGGATCAACTTTGTCATCCTCCTTTGTAAAATTTTCCAGAGCATTTATATCCATTCTGTAATACGGGGACCAAAAAAATGTGCAGCATAAACTAAAAAGAGGCCCAACCAAAATGTTTAGAGGTTTTAAGAACAACCTGGGACTCCCATTATTTATGTTCTTGATATGAAGCCCAAAGGGTTTATTTGCTTTATTGCGAAAACTTATGCACTGTTGTTTGGTTTTTTGATTATGTAACCAGGAAAATCCCAAATTTTTTCGAAACCGTAATATTAAATCTACATTAAATTTTGTTTATATGTGGGATGGTTTTTGTCCTGTCCAAAAATTTTTGAATTTGATTTGTTATTTAAACTGATCTGCCCCTTCTCCGGACCACTGCATCAGTTATTCAAAAACTTCCCGGAGGGGCTCTTTTGTCCCCGTCAGAATGGGTTTGCGGCCTATTTTTTTTGTCTCGGGGAAAATTGCTTTATGTCGTCTTTATGCCCTCCCTATGTGTTTATGTATTTTTGTGAAAAAGCAGGGGGGCCCAAAACTGCCCCTTTGGGGAACACCGTGTGCGCTTTTCCCCCCTTTTTGATTTTCCCCAAATTTTTGCAAAATCTTGTGCCTATTTTTTAAAATGCCTCTTTTCCAGGAAAAAAAAAATTTTTGCTCCCATTCCATGTGCCTTAATTTTCCTCAATAGTCTCCCGAGGGGGGGCCCCGTCAAAAACCTTACTGAAGTCCATGTACACAATATCATTTCATTACCTTTATCTAACCCCCCTCAAAAAACCTTTTGTAAAAAAGTTAACAAATTGTAAGGCAGGAACGCCCCTTTGTTTTAAAAACCCTGCGGGGATTCGTTGATTAATTTATTTTTAAGGTGACTACGAACTGCCCCGGCAATTAATGATTCCAAAAAATTTTTCCCCAAATATGGGGGGTTAGGTTATTGGTCTATAGTTTGAAATAAGGACCTGTCACCCGCCCTTTTAAAATAGGTTCACCCTTTGGGAAAACATAATGGGTTAGTTATTTTAAAAAGGTAATATAAATACCTTTTTGATTTTTCTTTGGGGCTCAGTTTTGATTTCTGTTTAAGTAAATTGGAGATCAAGGCGGATGAATTAGTTTAAAAAATTGTTTGCCCCAAATCCCCTAACCCAATCTATTGTTTTAAAAATTTGTAAAATGATCCTTTCTGGTTTAAAGTTTTGGGGAATTTTAGTGCGCAGCCAGAGGAAAGGGGGGGGTCAAGGGCAAAAAAAAGAAGATCAAAAAATAAGTACGATGAGGACGAGGCTGAAAAAATCTCACCCAAGAAAAAAGATTTGGGGTGAGTATAGTCCCCCAGCTGTCGCAGGGGCCACAACCGAAAAAACCGCTAGTGAACACCCCTTTGGGGCAAATGTAAGAGTACCCTTAAAAGAATCTCAACAATCTTTCAGGGCCCCTATTATCATAAAATGTCAGGCCTGATTTTTCAGTATACATTAAGCATGGAACCCCACACCCGTAAAGCATTAAAGGAACCGGAGAAAGGGGTGCACGGCTAAATAATAAGAATATGAAAACCGGGGAAATTTTTACTGAAAGGGCGTCCCGCTTAAAAGAGACCTTATCGTCTAATCAGAGAATAAAAAAAAACTCTTTTTATGGGGCTAAGGCACAGTTAAGAAGTATTTCTTCATTTCCAGGGTATCAGGAATGGAATGACCGGGAAGAAGGGTTTGCAAATGAAGGAAAAACACTGCCAAAGATTTTTTAAAAAAATGGGTTTCATAAAAATACTAAGGAGGGTTGGGGGTCTAAGAAGGGGCCCTGTCTAGCATGGGGTAATGATTAGGAGTGCCCCTTCTTCTCATTTCCCCGTAAGAGAGACATTTTGCTCGTCCCTCCTGAGTAGCCTCTCCCCTTTGGCACAATCTTGGGAATGTGTGGGGTCGCTACTTCCTGCCACATGTTGCTTTCTTTTTCAATATATGTACCTGGGGATTTGGCTGTTTTGATTAAGTCTTTTGAACCGTTTTTTTTAAACTAAAAGTATCAAAAACGCATAATATAAGTTGTTACAGGTGACTGATGCCCAGTGAAAGTAAAATTTAATGTATTGGGAAGGGGGAAAAAACAATACAGTTTTTTTTTTTTTTTTGTGAGGCGGGGGAAATATTCCACGCGCGGTGGCGCCGTGGACCATGTTTTATAAACCCCAGAAAAAGGGAAGTCGCCCTCCTACCCATTCGCTCCACCCCGCAGTACGTCAGCACCAATCCTAGGGGTACTGTGTCTAACTCTGTGCCCCTTCGTGAGCCCCTCTGGTCGCGGGCGCCCTTACCCCTCGACGTCAATTGCGAAGAAAGAGAGGGATATCATGAAAATTGGTGCCCAATTAGTGCTTGTCTATATAATGGTACGTTTGGGGTGAAATAGTGCGTTTCGTGCATCGTGTGTACTCACCCCAGTACGACAATTCCCCCCACTTTCCCTCAAGTGGCCCCGCGGGAGCGAGGCCTCCCGCCCCCCTGCCCCGACCCATATTTATAGCTCGCTGCCACCATCGCCATCATTCCGACGCAGTTACTTCATTTTTGCATCTTATAGGTGTTGACTGTCCGTGAGATATCTCTTTCGTAAAAAGTTTATTAATTGGCCTAAGGTCCCCCTCCCCAAAGCACTGGGTCTGCGTGCCCCCCTTACCCCGACCGACAGGTGTTGAGAGCCCGGTTCCCGGCCACAGCCCCCATTACCGTCCGCAACAACCCGGGTTTCTCTAGGAATGGAGCCAAGGGGCCCCCCTGGGCTCCCCCCAGAGCTAATAGAACTCGCTCTTAGGGTTTCCCGGGCGCCCCCCAAATGATGGCCATCCCCCCTTTTAGTCAACCCTATACGGTCTACGCAAAATGGCAACCTCAAAGGTCAGTTTTTTTTTAATGAAAATCTAAATTTTACTGTGAGTGAAAAATTTACTATTTGTAGTTATGATATGAGTTTTCATTTTTTTAAATAAACAGAAATATTTCAATAAACTTACTTGCTTTAAATGTTATAATGTAATTCATCAGTGAAGAAAAGTACTAGCAATTAGAAATTAGTTACACCCACACTGCAGGCTTCATCAGTTGAATATAGATATGACACACTCCTGGACACACCAACCAGAAACTTATATACAAGATGAGGTGTAGCAGCTTGCAGATGTCACAGGTGTGACACACCTCACCTTCCTGCGTAAGTCTCTGGCCAACTGCTTCTGCTTTAGGCTAAGAGACTCATCATCTTGCACCTAGGGTGATGGATTGGTTATATCAGACTCCATACTTTGTCAACTTCGTCTTCCACCAACGCTGGTGTCTCCAGGAATGTGTGATCTCTGTATTCGACTGTTGAAGCCTGCAGTGCAGGCAAAACGTTTTGCCAATAAAGATTCCTAATGTTGCACATGTTTCTTATCAACTTGTCGGTATCGTATACTACATATGGCATGATACAAAAAGAACTGTCAATGGTACCGGGGTTGTTGTCCCCTCGGCCCTGTTGCAGATCAGTCCTCTAAACTGAAAAAGGAAGTATCACAGTAATTAGAACTATTAAGAAGCTCAATGGGAATTAGAGATATGTATTATTATTATTATTATTATTATTATTATTATTATTATTATTATTATTATTATTATTATTATTATTATTTTATTTTTTTTATTATCACACTGGCCGATTCCCACCAAGGCAGGGTGGCCCGAAAAAGAAAAACTTTCACCATCATTCACTCCATCACTGTCTTGCCAGAAGGGTGCTTTACACTACAGTTTTTAAACTGCAACATTAACACCCCTCCTTCAGAGTGCAGGCACTGTACTTCCCATCTCCAGAACTCAAGTCCGGCCTGCCGGTTTCCCTGAATCCCCTTCATAAAATGTTACTTTGCTCACACTCCAACAACACGTCAAGTATTAAAAACCATTTGTCTCCATTCACTCCTATCAAACACGCTCACGCATGCCTGCTGGAAGTCCAAGCCCTCGCACACAAAACCTCCTTTACCCCCTCCCTCCAACCTTCCTAGGCGACCCTACCCCGCCTTCCTTCCACTACAGACTGTACACTCTTGAAGTCATTTGTTTCCGCCCCATTTCTCTACATGTCCAAAACCACTCAACAACCCTTCCTCAGCCCTGTGGACAACATTTTTGGAAATCCCGCACCTCCTCCTAACTTCCAAACTACGAATTCTCTGCAATTATATTCACACCACACATTGCCCTCAGACATGACATCTCTACTGCCTCCAGCCTTCTCCTCGCTGCAACATTCATCACCCATGCTTCACCCCATATAAGGCGTTGGTAAAACTATACTCTCATACTTTCCCCCTCTTTGCCCCCAAGGACAAAGTTCTTTGTCTCCACAGACCCCTAAGTGCACCACTCACTCTTTTTCCCTCATCAATTCTATGATTCACCTCATTTTTCATAGACCCATCTGTGACACGTCCACTCCCAAATATCTGAATACATTCCCCTCCTCCTTACTCTCCCCCTCCAATCTGATATTCAATCTTTCATCCCCTAATCTTTTTGTTATCCTCATAACCTTACTCTTTCCTGTATTCCCCTTTAATTTTTTTCTTTTGCACACCCTACCAAATTATCCACCAATCTCTGCAACTTCTTTCAGAATCTCCCAAGGCCCCAGTGTCATCAGCAAAAGAGCAGCTGTGACAACCCCCATTTTGTGTGTGATTCTTTATCTTTTAACTCCACGCCTCTTGCCAAGACCCTCGCATTTACTTCTCTTACAACCCCATCTAAAAATTTATATTAAACAACCCGGTGACATCACACATCCTTGTTAAGGCCTACTTTTATAGGAAAATTTCCCTCTTTCCTACATACTCTAACTTGAGCCTCACTATCCTCGTAAAAACTCTTCACTGCTTTCAGTAACCTACCTCCTACACCATACACTTGCAACATTTGCCACATTGCCCCCCTATCCCCCCTGTCATACGCCTTTTCCAAATCCATAAATGCCACAAAGACCTCTTTAGCCTTATCTAAATATGTTCACTTATATGTTTCCACTGTAAAACCCCTGGTCCACACCCCCCCTCCCTTTTCCCTAAAGCCTCCTTTTTCATCTGCTATCCTATTTTCCGTCTTACTCTTAATTCTTTCAATTAAAACTTCTACCATACACTTTACCAGGTATACTCAGCAGACTTATCCCCCTATAATTTTGCACTCTTTTTATCCCCTTTCCCTGTATACAAAGGAACTATGCATGCTCTCTCCCAATCCTAGGTACCTTACCCACTTCCATACATTTATTAAATAATTGCACCAACCACTCCAAACTATATCCCCACCTGCTTTTAACATTTCTATTTTATCCATCAATCCCGGCTGCCTTACCCCCTTTCATTTTACCTACTGCCTACGAACTTCCCCCACACTCACAACTGGCTCTTCCTCACTCCTACAAGATGTTATTCCTCCTTGTCCTATACACGAAATCACAGCTTCCCTATCTTCATCAACATTTAACAATTCCTCAAAATATTCCCTCCATCTTCCCAATACCTCTAACTCTCCATTTAATAACTCTCCTCTCCTATTTTTAACTGACAAATCCATTTGTTCTCTAGGCTTTCTTAACTTGTTAATCTCACTCCAAAACTTATTATTTTATTATATTATTATTTTGGTTAACAGAGCTTCATCAACGGGCTTCATGTTGACTCGAGGTCCATTTCCCGTGCAGGGGCTGGACGAGCAGCCTTCCAGCATAGGGAGCAACTCAAGCATGCTCGTCGCATCGTCGTCAAGCTGGGTTCAGCCGTTGTCACTCGTCAGGATGGTTGTGGTCTAGCTCTCGGCCGCCTCGCCTCCATCGTCGAGCAGGTCATTATACTTGCCTATAATAGTTGTTGAAAATTGCATTTATCTGAATGTAACTCATTATGTACATAACAGTAAATGATAACAAAGATTATTATTTATCAAAGTTACATAGACAAGTAGGAATTTGGGACACCTAGGTCGCAAAAATGTCCCCCTTCGATACCTACAACTGCCATATCCACAAGTTGCTCTAGACCTATTAATTACAATTGAAATATGTATCACCAGGAATTCTGGTAAATATATAAATTTGTGGATTGTATATTAAAATTAATAAACGATTATATATATACAATTTACATAACAGAAGGAGAATATATCAAAATCACTCACCAGTTTGACTGGAGATCAAGATGTATGATACTCAGAAAACCTCACTGTCTATCCATGAAAATAACACTGGCCAGAGTTACAAACATAAACAAACTTATCTGAGGTTCCTGGAGCTGTCTTGTCCAGTCGTCAGATATCTCAAGTTATGCAGGAATGCATATCCAACAATTTCGCCTCCTGTTTGAGAGGTGTCAGCCCAGTTTTAACCTCTAGAGCACGAAAATTCTTCTTATTTTCACTAACGTTTTCTTGGCTCATTCAAAACACAATGGCGAGTCTCGTCTTCGCAGGCGCAGGCTTCCCATTTTTTATGACAAATCTTTATTAAATACAGTATGTTACACTAATTTGCATAAAAAATACACTGTATTTTTTCTGGAAAATACATTATTTTCCACAATAGTTATACCTCAAACAAATATTATTAATTGCACTTGAAGTATAACTATATTGGAACTGTTTTGATATATGTAGTGTAGCTAAAAATCTTTGATTTTTCTATTTCACTATTTCTGTATTAATTTATCTGTCTATCTGTCTGTCTGTCTGTCTGTCTGTCTGTCTCTCTCTCTCTCTCTCTCTCTCTCTCTCTCTCTCTCTCTCTCTCTCTCTCTCTCTCTCTCTCTTCGTCTAGTAAATAAGGTTCTCAATCTTGCAGTGCGCCGAGCTTCAGAACGAGGGCCATGAGCTGCTGATGGTGACCTCGGGGGCCGTGGCCTTCGGGGCACAAAAGATGGCCCAGGAGCTGCTCATGTCACTCAGCATGAGGGAGACTCTCTCTGGCAGGGACAGCCTCCGCGGGGTAACTTCACGTCTTTCTTTCCAATAACCAAATTCTTGCAATTTATATGCTGTATAATAGGAAATGCTTTTGTTTAGTAAGCTATCACAATTCAAATTTTAAAAAGTCACAATACATTGTAATTCACAAATGAAAATTCAGAGATGAAAGTTTACACGACACTCCGATTCTTCCTGAACCATTCTAAAGACAAATCGCCACTCGTTACTTGATAATGATTCATGACGGGCCGAAACCTTGTTTCAAGTTTTCTCTCCAAACTGTGGTTTGTTTGTGAATTAATAATATTACTGGCACTGTTATTAATTACTGACGCATTTCACAGGAAGAGGTGAGAAACATGTTGGCACCCCGAGCTTCAGCTGCCGTGGGTCAGTCTGGTCTAATGTCGCTGTACGAGGCTATGTTCGCTCAGTACGGTGTCAGGGTGGCTCAGATCCTCATCACTAAGCCTGATTTCTACAACAACGAGACGCGCCAGAACCTCAACTCCACCATCAACGAACTCATCGCTCTCAACATCCTACCCATCATCAACACCAACGACGCCGTCACCCCTCCTCCCCAGGTGCTGGACGAAGAAGCCACCAAGAAGCTTGACATCCGAGACAATGATTCACTCGCCGCTCGTTTGGCAGTAGAGGTACAGACAGATCTCCTTATCCTTATGACTGACGTTGACGGCATCTACAACAAGCCGCCCAACACTGAAGGTGCTCGCTTGATTGACAGCTTTGTTCCTGAAATGATTAATAATTTGGAGTTCGGTCAGAAATCCTCAGTTGGAACTGGTGGAATGGACTCAAAAGTCAAGGCTGCCAGCTGGGCACTTGATCGAGGGACATCTGTCGTAATATGCAAAGGGATGTCACAGGGCGCAATCAAGGGCATCGTGCAAGGTCGTAAAATAGGGACATTTTTCACGACGAACAACGATAGTGGACTTGCTGTAGAAGTACTCACTAAGAACGCCCGCCAAGGCAGTCGCCTCTTGCAGTCTCTCTCCCCCAGTGATCGTGCTGCTGCTGTCCTCACTCTTGCTGAGCTCCTCGAGACTCGTCAGCCAGATATATTAGTGGCTAACCAGAAGGATCTCGAGGAAGCGGCCAAAGCTGGAATCTCATCAGCTCTCACCTCTCGCTTGAGGCTCACGCCTGCTAAGCTCAGCAACTTGGCAAATGGATTACGCCAAATTGCTGCTGATTCCAAAGATATTGTGGGCCGCACCCTCTCCCGAACCTTAGTGGCTGAGGGGATTGAACTTCGACAGATTACTGTGCCAATTGGGGTTCTTTTGGTAATATTTGAATCTCGTCCAGACTGTCTACCACAGGTGGCTGCACTGGCTATCTCGACAGGGAACGGGTTGTTGCTGAAAGGGGGCCGTGAGGCACATCATAGCAACCATGTACTGATGGATCTGGTTAAGGAGGCACTCAGCACTGTTGGTGCTACTGGTGCTATCTCTTTGGTCACGAAACGTGATGAAATTTCGGACTTGTTGCAGTTGGAAGGTGAAATTGACCTGGTGATCCCTCGAGGTTCCTCAACCCTGGTGCGCACCATTCAGGAACAGTCCAAGTCCATCCCAGTGCTGGGTCATGCTGAGGGCATCTGCCACGTTTACATCGATAAAGATGCTGACCTGGAGAAGGCTATCAAAATAGGTAAGATATTTACTTTCCAAATAGTAATTTTCATTTACTATTTAGTAACAGTTGAACTTATGTGGATGTTGTATGTGTGCGGTCATGTTGTGATGTGTCATTTATTCACTAAGGTATTTCAGTTAAGTTAATGTCTCAGATCTGTGTTACATCTCAACATTGCATCTATTAAACTCATTTTAATGCTCCGCCATACATTCAGTTTAGCATTTTATGGGAAAATATCAACCCTATTTTTGTTGAGCCAGAGCGAGTACATCGTACTCGTCTGTAAACAAAATCAATAACAGTACCACTAAAAGTATTTTTTATTTTTTTTGCAGTGCGTGACGCCAAGTGCGACTACCCATCCGCTTGCAACGCTATGGAAACACTGTTGATCCACGAGGAGGTCTTCCATAACACCAAGTTCTTCGCCAATGTGTGTCAGATGCTGCAGCGTGAGAAAGTCACCATTAACGCAGGCCCTAAGCTCTCCAGCATGCTCACATTTGGACCACCGGTCGCCAAAACTTTCAAGTGAGTGTCATGGCGCAAACTTTGGTCACTATGTTTTGAGACAAAAACCACCCCTGTGTATAATGCTAAAACTGTATCTCTTTTGATTGCGTTTTATTAATTAGATTCTTTGATAAGTTTGCCAGTGCCTGCTGCCATGATAAAGCAATGAAAGACCACAAGTACAGTGCAGTTTTTTCCATCACAAAATGCTTGAAAAAAAAACATACTCCGGCCGGGATTGAACCCGCGGTCAGAGAGTCTCAAAACTCCAGCCCGTCGCGTTAGCCACTAGACCAGCTAGCCACAATAAGATTCGTCCAACTAGGTATATTTCTACACCATAGGAAGGTTAGCACAGGCGCCACTGTGACCACAAATGCAAGTTTTTACAGAGTTTTTATAGAGTTCGTCACGGCCACGCTAGCTGGAGATTCGTCTGTAAAAACTTGCATTTGTGGTCACAGTGGTGCCTGTGCTAACCTTCCTATGGTGTAGAAATATACCTATTGTGGCTAGCTGGTCTAGTGGCTAACGCGACGGGCTGGAGTTTTGAGACTCTCTGACTGCTTGAAAAAAGCTTAATATTGAATCATTGTCAGTGTTTTGGAAAGTCTTGATCAGTTAAGTATATTTATTGTTCCGTTTTACCACTGCAAAAATCACCCATTTCATTCTAATTACCACCACAATTCACAAATTTTGTAAAATTTAGTTAGAGTACACGAGCTACATCTCAACCTTCGAACTCCATTCGATCAAGGGGGACTTATTATTTTATTGTTTGACTACATATTCAACACCTAAAATACTTGATCATGAATATCTCACAGGAAATAAACAGTATATTTACTTGCCATAATAGCAATGATACTTGTAAATATCTGATGAAAGTAATGAAGCGTATGTGGTATATTTAAATAGAAATATTGAATCATTAAATATTTATTAATAACCAAGAATTATAAATCATATTTATTAAATACATCGATAATTAGTAATAAAAACATGGTTGAAAATGACCATAATTTTTAAAGGGGTGAACCGGTAAGCCAGGGGAAGGCCTCGGTCAGATGACCAAAGCTCCAAAGGCGGGTCATCATCTGACTTAAGACCCGCGTCAGGAAACATTTGTCCTGTTTCCTGACTAACCTTACCTAACCTAACCTAATACATCGAGACGTGTATGCCTATAAGTGC